ATCGACTAACGTCGATTGACGCGCGATTTGTTTCTATAAATGCAGCAGCATCTATAATGCATCGGGGCATTTAATTGTAGTCAGGTTCGTCGCTGGAAATAACCGAATTTAACCACGCAGCTGGCGAGGTAATAAATTGCACTTATACGGGATTAAATAGCTGGCCAAAGATATCCCTCGACAGAAAAATTGGATTCCTCTTAGTGACGGTAACGTCTTTCGAATTTTCTGAAGGGAGATTATTTCGCGAATGAAGCGAGTTGTAAGGTAGGTGAGACTTGACAATAATGCCAGTATGAACCCCAAAATAAAATTTAAAACTATACGAATAGAATAGAATTCACATGAGAAGAGCTGGTGCATGTTGTTCGTTCGATGCAGGGTTGATCTTGAATTTCTGGAGAAATACCATTTTCACTGCGTCTGAAAAATAAAAAAAAAATATATTAGAAAACTTTATACTCGAGTTTTTAATTGTAGGAGATGGTCTAAGATTATCAAGATAAAAATCTAATTATTGAAAAACATAATATAATTTTACAAACAATAAGCAATAAAATACTTAATTTCAATTTTATTTATTTTTAAGATCAGATATATTAATCGCTATCGACATTGAAATAGGGAGTATGGAGATTACAATGTATAGTTTCTAGCATAGTATAACCTGAAATGAGACTTAACGTCTAAAATAACGAATAGGATTTGTTAAATACATCTACGAAAACTTTTCGAACATTTTTTTCACGTAGAATATAATATTTTCGAATTTTACGCTTCAGACCTGTCCAGGTCCTGGTGTGCTTAAAATTGTTATCTTATATAAACACAAAATTGTCTCTGATGCCCATTTTTGCTGCACTAGAGATAAGATAGGACTTTAAAATGTCTATGTACATCTGGTGATTTATTGTTCTATCGATGAAGTGTAATATTTAAACACTGAATGTACACGTACAGCTTTAAATAAGTATTATACTTTGGTAGTAGGGTCTGTATTTTGGTACCTTTACCATAAGATTATTATTATACTGCGTTATACTTACGTCATAACACATCAGGCCTCATGGGCCTCAGTGTGCTATAAGAAATATCCCAGTCAGAATGTGTTTTTGCTCTCATCTGTAAAAATTACTCGTTTCCAAAACTTCATTACTATATTTACATAACCCATCCCAAATTCCAGTAATTTCTTCTTAATAATAATTAAATCGATACGTCCTAAATATGGTCTCAAATATTATAAACTACTAAACCTGTATATTTCAAGAATAAAGAATACGTTGACTTACTTTTTGCATGGAAAAATTAATATTGCTAGTAAAAAAAAACTTGAATATCGCGTTAAATGGTTCTGTTTGGAATATCGTAATTTTAATCAAAACCAGTTTTCATAAAAATAAATATTTATAGTACGGGTAGTTCCAGTTACCACTTTATAATATCACCGTATACAATGTACTGTGACATTCTATACTAGTACACATTCTAGTGCAAGTTACTGTGCTATTATTCCTTATACGTAATAGTATAATCTGCTGGAACGTGGTCAAACAGTATCTTTGTAATAACCGTGAGGATAAAACGTGGAAGTATATAGGAATATAAATATTTACTTATAAGCTACGAAGTAACCGAGACAGTGTAACGAAACATCCTCAAGAATTCCTGCAGCAAACAGATAATATTCCCCGATAAGAAATAGAAGACATTCGTACAAAATGTCCGCTTATGTGGAACGGAATATTCACAATACGTTCGCGACCCTTCCGATTACAGTTTGAATCTGGGCGTCCAATTTCTAGATCTATTCGTTCAATTTTGTATTCATATCGAACATTTAAAAAATTAACTCTCTGTGGTCGCTGATGCTTTTTAAGACGAACGTTAAATAAATAAACGAAAAGAAACTTTATAGCACGTTGTTCCCGAGAGAAAAGATCGTACCATGAAAGTTTGCCTCAGCAACTCAATGGCCAATGCCGCGTGACTTCGATGGCCACGTTAAAAAGTCGTATTAAACGAACGTATCCTTGACAATGTGTACTGAATATTCGGGTCACATCCTCAATCAGACTTCCTCCGCCGGTGTCACGCGCACGTTCAACGTTACCCGCTCAAAGAGGAGACACGTAAGGCCGATTAGACAGGATCTACAAACGTGTTCGACGAATTATAACGATTTCAAGTGGGACATTTGCCTGTGCCGAGGGGGCTAGGACGACTGTTTCTCTCTCTCTCTCTCTCTCTCTTGCTCTGTTTCCAGGGCCAGTTGACAATAAGGGAGAACGACCCTTCGCGAACAGGGAAACAGCTGTTCAGCGACGATGAGAAAAGGACGGAGGTCGGGATTTGGAGAATGGCAGGGGAGAGGGCAGACGGAGTGAAAAAAGAGGTTACCACCTGGCTTACCTGGCTTGTGCTTACCTGAAAACCGACATCCGTATACCTGCCTGAGCATTCTTTTGTGCCGGGCCCGGGGCACGCACCCATTCCCAGACGACCGTGTTCTCATCGTACAAAACTGCGCGACGCGAAGCTACTGTCGTACGTTGAGAAAAATGTTTCGGGAATGTACTCGTCACGAACTGGAGGTTGTCCTCGCTAACAACCGCGGTTATCGTTGCACTGGGTAACACCGGTTAGTATCTAGTCCTGTGGGACTCTCGCGCAAGGTTGCAGTTTCGTCGACCCCGCGCCATTTCAAGCAGAAACACGTTATTGTCGCGTCGTGTGCATCGATGCAAGTTTGAGAATGTTTTTAAAGCCCCACTACTATCTTCTAACTTGACAAATGTCGGACAATCATCAAAATTTTATTTCTATTTCTATCTAGAAATGTGATTCTTTAAATCTCGAATCTTCGTTAACCCCACTTCTTTTTGAGCTTCTCTAGACCAATACAGTATGAAAATTCGAAATTATAGAGATCAGATAGCAGAGAGTTGATAATGAGAAGTAATGTGACATCACACGTACAAACCGAACAATAATGTGTATTCTATGACGCCACGTGTCAATAATATGTTTCTGTCTTTAACCGACCAACTGGAACCGATTTAAAACCACGGTTGTCTTTTCTTTCAAAGAGATTAAGCAGTATGACTTACAAGAAATCGTTTCCGCTGCAAATGAATACTAACCTTTCGTAATTCATCGTTGAAACGAGATCAGAAAATATATGCAGGATGTTCGGCCACCCCTGGGAAAAATTTTAATGGGAGATTCTAGAAGTCAAAGTAAGACGAAAATCAAGAATATCAATTTCTTGACTGAGACTTCGTTAAATAGTTATTAAAAAATTTCAAATCATTCTGGAAAAATTATTTTTGGATGCAGGGGTCAATTACAATCATTGTTGGTAAATACACATACCCCCGAAATCCTACCCACTTTCGAGAAAGAAATTCGAGTAGATACTGAAATTTTTAAACGAAATTAAAAAATTTTAAATCATATTTAAAAAATTATATTTAGTTACAGGGGTCAATTACAATCATTTTTGGTGAATAGACATACCCCCGAAATCCTACCCACTTTCGAGAAAAAAATTCGAGTAGATACTGAAATTTTTAAACGAAATTAAAAAATTTTAAATCATATTAAAAAAATTATATTTAGTTACAGGAGTCAATTACAATCATTTTTGGTGAATAGACATACCCCCGAAATCCTGCGCATTTTCGAGAAAAAAATTCAGTACGGGTGGAACTTTAAACGTTAATAACTTTTTAACCAAGCCTCCATCAACTAATTGGTATTCTTCATTTTCGTACTATTTTGGTCTCTAGAATCTCCTATTAAAATTTTTCCCATGGGTTGCCGAACATTCTATATGTACAGATACATGTAAATTGAACAAAGTTTCTTATTTTCCTTTGGTTAGTAGGGAAATACACCATAAATTAGAACTGTTTATTATTTATACCGAACTAACATTGCAAGAACTAATTTAATTTTTGATTCACAACGTTTGGTGTTTCTCTTCAAATGTAAATTTTCCTAACCCAGACAAAAAGTATTTCATGTCATACACACCTCTATGTTGATCCTGCATCGTACCTCATCAACGATCAAGACACAGAATTATTATAGCGTCGCCTAAAGTTGAAAGTTTTCATCGATTTTTATGAAAATTACTTTTGTAAATATATTTTTAATACTACATCAAGTACACAACCTTACTTCGTAATTGCGAAGTGATCAGGTATTGCATACCTGACCTAGATGGCTTTACACTAACCGATCTTGGCTAGTCGAACGAGGACAGTGTGGACGAGGGGAACGACAAAATTTTCCCATAGATCTTTTTTATAGAATATGTTGATAAAGTTTGACCAAGCAATTTAGGAACATCCTGTCCAATTGAAAACGTATCTTTCGCATGACTGCGAAACGATTTAAAACTATCAGATCGGCGGACGTAATTAATATAACGCGACCGCATATGGTCCGATTGCACGCGCGTTTCTACTTTTTCTCGCGCGGAACATTTCGCTTCAGGGATCATTTCCGTGCGGCCTCGTTTCCGGTTCGTGCGAAGCCAGATGCGACTCCCTTCCAGTTATCCATGTTTAACCACGATCCGAAGAATTCCCAATTTCTAGCGACCGACACGACCCGGGACCCTTCTCAACTTTGTGTATACATACACCGAAAATCCGGGCAGATGGTGAGTAGCCACTATGTTCTACCGTCAAAATTATCAGTAGCTCGTAACGAAAAGCGAAATTGGATTTTACGGCCACGCAGCTGACCTCCTCGAACCCTTCTCTTTTCTCATCGAACTCGATTTTATCACGATGTTGAAACCGTTTCCCGGAACAAACGAATAACCTCGTGAATCTACCGGTTGTTAGCTGTTGCAATTTTCTGCACCACGCGTTGTAGGTGTATTGCAATAATGAGAAATAGTTTAATCCGTGAAATACGAATAATTCGAAACAATTTATAAGTTCACGAACTTACATCGTAAGTCGCAAAACCGTAGCGTATGGCGGTGATTTTTACTTCTTTACGAAACATTTATTATCAAAATTGATATGACATAATTTATAAGGAACTTAAGGTTAGGGATGAGCGAATGAAAATACAGCTAACAAAATTGTACAATTTATGTAGGAACCCCCCGCAGCGCGTCTTGTAACTTTTTTCTCGCCAGAGCGACTCGGTCTTCTTGTCTCTTGATATCTTCGTCCGCTATCGAAACGGCCTGAAACAAAAATTAACTTTGTTCGTTATTTGCAACGATAATTACTGTCGCCGTGATACAATTACGTTTGTTACTGTGTTTCTGTTGCTATACCCTTTCAAACCTCCAGTACATAATTATTTACGTTACATAGGGTGTGCAATATACGTTTAAGTGTATTTAACACACAAAATGTATTCTAAGAGTTAACTTGAATTAAAAATAGCACCCTATATAGTATCCAAATATCTATTCTACCTGTACAAGGGGTTGATCAGGATTAAGAAATACCCCGGGATTCTTCTCTAAAGCTGTTTTTGAACCAGTTTGTCCCGTGACTGGTTGAGATGAAACATGTAGAGCCGTAGCAACACTTTGTAATAAAGTTTCGTCCGTAATATACGGTCCCACTGGTTTTAAACTTTTTGGTAAATCCATTGCATCAAATTCAAAACCATCTGGATCGCATGCCCTTAAACCCTCCAAACGTTTTTCCCAAAATAACTGTAAGGTTTAGATATATTAATTGTACGTGGTAACCATAGATTCTGTATATAAGACAATAATATTGTATGTAGAATAATAATGCTTAACACGCACAAGAACAATCTAATTACAAAAGCAAGATATATTCGCTTCATATTACAAGCAGAATTATAATATACAGTTAAATGTTGTCAATTTCTTAATGATTGCCACGAATGTTATATTTAGAATAACAAAGAGTCGATGATAGATGACAGAGAAAAACTTAAAATACCACGAAAGTTTATACGCGTTGCACGAAAAAAATATATTTCGTAAAATTTTGAATGCTGTGAAATTTTTATGTAATTCGGAATTTCGTAAAGATACATGCACTACACGATTGTTTCTACAATGACTGAAGATGGTAGTTACTGGACATCAACATTTTATATAGAATATTATGAATTTATTAACAGAAAGAAACAAACACATAATCAGTAACGATTCCATAAGCACATCGAACAATGTTACCTGCTTAGGCTTATCTTGGGAGCCATATTTGCCATCAGTTTTATCGGCTCCTTCCTAAACGAATGATTCGATGATTGTACCATGAGAATTTATACAAGGAACAACGTTAAATGACACAATAAACTAAATCATAAGTTCTAATGATTTTATATTTAGGATGATAACATAAATATATAAGGTATTATTTTTACACGTGAAAGGGCTATGATACAATTATTACCAGATAATGATACAATGTTTTATACATTATAATTTTTAATAAATAACATAACAAACAAGGTACAGAATTTCATAAGGTATTGTTTAGAAATGTTTCTTCTTGAACTAAAAAATATTAACACTGGGAAACATCAACAAAACTTATTTCAACATTTTAATAATTCAATGTGTACACATATATAAGTTTAGAACATATATAGACAAGTACTAAGCAACAAATACAAACCTGTTTTGGTTTTTCTTGATTTCCAAGCTTGATGTCTTTTACTTTTCCCTCTTGCGTTTTATAAATGGTCACTGGTTGTTTGAAAATGGATGCCGTTTGTCTTATCGGTGGTACTAACGATGCGTCGTTTCTTACTCCACGACTGGATAAAAAATGTACGATATCCTTATATATACATAATTGAGGTTAGAATTAATGACACTAAACATTCCTGCACCGATTACGATTGGTTTAATACCCAGTGCACGCTACTGTCAATTTCTACACGCAATGTGCAATCAGTTTCCATCATCAATATTTTAATAACAAATTTCAGAATGCAAAACTCACCTATAATAGAAAACGTCAACCTTTCCCGTGGTTGACAATTGGTTTTGACTTTTTCTAGTGGTTTCCTCTCTCGTCGGCCAATTTGTTGGTAACGCCGACGGGTACTTCTTTTTCTCCACTGACATATTCATTTTGTTAAAGTGTTTAACGTGTTTAAAAACGACTTAAATAATCAGCAAACAAACACCCTAGTCAACTACCGACGGCCATATTGACGCGTCATACGCTCCGCAGTTCCTTTATATGTCAATACAGTTGTGGTTTCGAGTTTCGTCTATTTATCTGTATGATGGCGACACTATCCACAGCGTTATCGAACTTCCAACAGCAATGTTTATTTAGACCGATATAAATTTTAGGTACGTATCAATAATAAATAATAATAAATCAATAATAATAAATAATTGTGTAAACAGAATGATTAGTAATGTAAATTTCGCACACACAAAAACAGATTTAATTGAACAATCGTTAGAAAGTCTAAAACTATCCTTGCAACGTATTGTAAATTAATTTATTCTTGTTACGTTCACTAAGCGATAATGTTTGATTATGTAAAATCCACATCTGTAGTTCCTTAGATATTACATCGTTGTACTAAAGGGTTTAATTACCCGTTAATAAATGAATAATAATAATAAAGTAAGAATGTCATAACGAATATCGGTAAACTACTAGTGAAACGTATAACGTCATAAGAACGTTTCCATCTTTTCATTTCTGTGTATAATGATTGCAAAGAAGTAGTCGAAAATATCTGTATAACATCACCATTTTCCATTAAGTTCCTCATATATGTGAATGGAAAACTATTTCTTTAAAAATATAAAAGGACGAATGAGGTAATGTTGATATAGGATCAATCAAATATTGAAAACGAGTAAGTTAAAATTACTAATCGGGTATGAAATTCACTTTTACAAAGAGGGAGAGGAAAGGAGTTCTATGACAGTTAATAAAACCAACCGTGTATATAGATATAGATGATTTAATTGTCGAAAGAAACAATTTTCGCGTAGCTATAGGAACAACATGAACTGTGCTTGGAAAGGATTAACACTTGTCTGTCTTTTTTCTCTGCTAGAAACGCATTCGTTTTACTTTCGTACACACGGAGTGCAAATTGCGGAGATACAATTCAGTGACTGCGGGACACAATTAATGAATTATTGCGGGGTGACGAGTCGCGATTTCGCTGTCTTATTTTTCTCTTCGCTGTTGTTTTCCCTAGTGCGTCTGTACGTGTATGTGTTATGTGTGTTTACGTGTGTCTATGCATTTGCGTGGGTATGCGTATTATTCACTGTAAAAGAATATCGATTCTGTACAAGTTAATTCGTAAGAGATAATTAACTATTGAGTCTTCTTGAGGTATCGTTGTTTCTATTGGTCTATCGTCGGAGCTGTGTTCGTCGAAAATCTATCTGCATTTTCTCGTTTCTCGTTTTTCTTTCCTACTTCCTTTCGTGTCATAATTCGTATTACGTCTCGTCAACGTTAATGTTTGCGCGGCAGTATACAGCGTCGATTCTACGACGATCACAGCGAATGTAAACGTGTGTCATCCTGTAACAAAATAGAAATCTCCTTTATGCATCCCCTGCTTTCACCGTATTCAGATCCGAATGATAACGCACTACCTAGTACCCTACAAATTTCATACGCCGTCTCGCAGGCACGAAGAAAATCGTCAATGTACTGAAATGCGTCAATTTGATCCTGTTGATATAAATTCAATTACGATTACGACGGTATTTCGTCGACCGGGTCGTTCGGTTGAATCTAGGGCCATCGTGGACAGTCAGAAAAATATTTCGCTGAATATCTTGTAAAGAACGTGTCTATGAGCGTAGCCCGTGTGTTATCTTTTTACTCGTGTGTAAGAGTTCGATGCCTCGAACGGCAGTAATCGCGAGCATCCGTAGGCGTCCGCCTAAGTTCATGTGTATCATCTCCATCGAGTACGATTGGGTTTCGTTAGATGCGGATAGGAGCGAAATTGTTGCCCCCCTCGCGGCGGCACAACTCGTAAAGTATATCGTGCCACGGTTCGCCGACGAAGAATGTCAAAAACCGTTAGGGCGATTTCGTCGCAAAAAGATTGGCGGGCGTGAAAATATATTCGATAAATACCCTTCGAGTTTTCGTACGAAAGTCAGGTTTCGAGATTCGTCGCGAACGAGCCACGATGTACCGGAAAAGCTTGCGCCGCGCGAGAGACGCGGGATTTCTTTCGGCGATACCGATTACGGCACGACAGAAAAAGCATCGGCGTCTCTTTCGTCCGTACATATACACAGATATTTGCTATAGAAAATGTCAAGAGATCGAACGCACTTTTTTTGTTCTGCCTTATCCTTCCGTGCCTTTCACAAAATTTCCATAGTTACCGAACGTAGTCAGTTAGTAGTAGCGACACAGAGAATAGCAACGAAAGAACAAGGTTTTTAACTGAGGCTTACGTACGAGTACAAATCATTAATTACTCTTCGTGAATGGAAATATCAAGGTTCGCGCAACATCTCGGCTTCGTTTTACGCATCCCTCAGCACGATCGAAAACTACATCAGTTCATAGCCCTATATCCGCTATACACCATAGACGCTCTTCCTCTCTACACGTGTGCTCGATATATTATGTAGAAATCTGCAACACGCGACACACATTCCTACGTTGACGGGTCCTACATGCTAGATCTCTGTGCTCCGTACACGTCTTACTCAGGCATCCGTTCGTTCGTCGTCGATAGCGAAGCACGAGGACATCGCGCGCCCGGTGAAAATGCCGAAGCAAACTAATTCACCGTGCAAACTCTCACAGTCACGCGTATGATACTTAATCGTAAAATTCTATATTACATTAGTAACATATTACACAAGCGACTTCCTCTTGCTCGAAGTCGAACGATCCCGCGGCACCACGTAATCATCGGGGAGAACATCACACGCATAGTCTCATTCGAAATCGTTTTCAGCCTATTTATAATTATGCGTTCTATACAATCTTAAATAGCTAAAACGTTCTGCCACCTTTATATATATTTATATATATATATATATACCGTAACTTCAGTGTTCTTCGCAGCCTTGCCTGTATTGTCCATTCACGCCGGTAGCTACAAGTGATCCAAATTTAACAAATATAACACACGCCGACGTATCGCTCGATTCACAAATAAACGACAGTCTCCTCTTGGTACAGGGCGGAGCGTAACATCCGCGCTCCTTCGATTAATCCCAGCTTCAGTACGCGTTCTCAGAACGGACTTCCCTCTACTTGCCCATAAACCGAAGCCTGTTATTCGCTTTTTCTGTGCACGAGTACTACAAAAGCCTAGTCCGTTCAACAGTAACCAGTATTCGAGAGGGTCGTCGAGTCGACTGTTCAGTATATCACTTCGTAGACGGTAGCTTTCTTGTCACCCGATCCCGTCACGATGTACTTGTCGTCCGTAGAGATATCGCAGCTCAGCACCGACGAGGACTCCTTCGACTGTAACGCGATAAAAATCATTCGATTAAACGTTTTGCCAATTGTTTCATATTCGTGGATAGAATGTTAACTAGGACCGCTCGTATTTACCTGGAATATTGAGGCACCGTAAGGTGTGCGCCACGCGTTCAGCAAATTGTCTTTGCCAGTGGAGACAAACCACTTGCCACAGGTAGCGAAACGCAACGAGAGCACACACGATTCGTGTAAATGAAGCTGATATTTGTCCGGTTTGGTGGCGTGTAGAACCTCGACGTTCGAGTTCTCCATGCCAACAGCCAGCCATTCCCCAGTCGGGCAATAGCCGAGGGAGAATATTTGAGACGTGAAGTCGTGTTGCTGAAGCTGCCTGCCCTCTCGAAGGTCCCACGAGCGCACCGTGTTGTCCAGACCGCCTGTCCAGAGTTTCGACCCGTCGGCGGAGATGTCGATGCACGACGCGCCGTCCGTGTGACCCTGGAACTGTCTGACCAACGACTGATTCTGCAGATCCCAGACGGCAATGTTTCCGTCGCTGCAGCAGCTGAAGCAGACCTTCGAGTCCGGTGAGATGGCCAGAGCGTAACACGCTGGCGCGTTCGAGGTCAGTTCCGCCTTGATTCTTGGCGTCGGACTCGCTAGATCCCAGATGCTCAGATTACTCGCCTCACCTCCCACTATTAGGGTTCTGCCGTCTGGTAACAGTTTCACTGATCTGTTTAATAAAAGAAAGAAGTATTTCAGTTTGTCAGGTATACGATGACAATGCTCCAGCCACTTATCGTTAGTATGGTTTTCTTTAAGTCGATTGTATTGTAATTATCAACGCAAATCAATGCACAGATTAAAACGTGTTGCTCGGTAAATCTACATCGCCGCACTTTTTGCACGTATTTTCACGTGCATTCGATTACCTTGCACTCTGTTGTTCTACGCAGTGTAACGGTTTGATTCAATGTTTTTAATTACTTTGTACGGAAAAATGTTCAATATTTTTAATTATTTTATATCGAGAAATGTCCAATATTGTAAATTATTTTGTATCGAAAAATGTTTGTCATTCCCCGTTGCTGTTTAAATTCTCATTACGTTGATCGTAAACGGAGTTGTTTACTCCAAAGTATGTTTAAAACGCAAATGAAAACGATAAGTCTTGTTGACAGTTCCAGTCGTTTCGAGCACTTTACTATGAACGCGTGACATTATCGACTTCAGGATTCCGTGCAACCTCGGTTCGTTTGATAAGATACAAAGTATACTTCCAAGTTCTACTTATTCTAAACATAGTCCTTTTTAAATGTCATCGAGTGTAATTGGAATTCTAGAATAGAGAATGCTAAATTGGACCGAGAGGAACAAGATTTTTTCTCAACGCTAGTATCAGCCAACATTATTTTCGCAAGACTAATTAGTTTCCTTATTAGTAACCATGGCATTTCCCGCGGTATCGTAATTATTTCGCAGGACGCGGCACGTATCGTTAAATGCGACCGCAACAGCGGCACAGTGGGCGCTAATCAGAATTTATTCAGGACCGAATCGCGTTTGCTACACGAAGTGGAAAGTTAATGTGTCATGTGCCGTAACGTGTAACCAACCTGATGTAGTTGTCTCGTTGCAAGCAATCAAGTTGCGAAACGTGTTTCGCGCTACCGCTGCCGCCCTGATTGATGTCCCAGACCTTGACACATCCTTTGCCGCCGGTGTAAACGTATTTAGTCGGATTTGAGATCGTTACGGCGCACACCACCTCGCCATGCGTGAGGGTATTTATCTGGCGCGCATGACGCGGTATTCCTTGTCCAATTAGAGCATCAGGTGGAAAGGGCACTGGCTGCATCTGGCCTTCGCTCGATACGTGGAAACTGTACGCTCTGCGAATCAAAAAAAAATCCCATGGTTTTTGTTAGGGCCGCAACAATCCTCCTCGAGTTTCTCTCTCGCGCGAAGAACCGGACGATAACTTTTATTAGAAAATAAAATATTGCAGAGATTCTAGGATCTTAGCTTTTTTTTATTCTTAACCCTGGAACGTTTAAGGTCTTGAAAGGTTTAGGGTCAACTTAAGAGTGTATTCTAGTCTAGATGATGAAAAGAAAATTCGAGGTTTTTGCTAATATCCTCAAGTTATCCCGTAATCGTGATTTAATTTTCACTTTACAAATGATCGCTCATCGGAGTACTTACCGTGGCCATAGCAGCTTAACTTTGACGATCAAACGAAAACCGGTGCGTTTCGAGCGGCTCAGCCGCCGGTAAAATAATTAATAAGTTGTATGGTATCAAAGAGGACACCATGCGAAGGACAACTTGGAAAGTTTAATTAGTTTAAAAACGAGAGTTGCTTTCCCTGCAGTGGTCCCGGGGATAAGTGGTTAGAACTTTGGCTAACGCTTGCTTCAAAGGTTCTGAGCTAGCTAAATTTAACTTTATCAATAACTTCTTTTTTCGAGGAGGCATGTATTTCCCAAAACCACCGGCGAAAGGTACGCGTTGATTGCTTTCGTTGGTTATTCGTGTATTTTGACAGAGACTTTGAAAAAGCAAGTTATCAAAACATTAAAATTAACCACTCTATCGTCCTTGCAATGGTTGAAAATGTACTATAGCGATTATATCTGTATCGCCATACAAAATACACCGTGCAACTGAAACGAATATGTATAGTATCGTACACTTTGTGTGTTTTCCTATCCCCGCGAGTTCTTATTTGAACGTTCGTTTCGAGTTCCTCGTCCACTCGTGAAACATGTTTTACCCGCGTCCCATAATTTAAAATCAACGCGCAAAGTGACAAAGGAAAGACGAGAACCATCGTTGCCATGAAAGGAACCCATCAAGCCAGAAGTAAAGCACTTACGGTTTGCCACCGGGCACGCCGAAAGGTCCGAGTGGTGCCCTCATGGTTCCGTGAGGGTCGTACAGTTGCTGAAGAGGTGGTCTTGTGGGATATCCATTCAGGGCTGCCGGAGGATAACCCAACATGTCCGCATGAGGTCCTGCGGGTGGATGATGTGGCGGCGGATAGTGTGGCGGATAAGGGCCGACCGCCGAAGCCGAGACCAGCGGTTTGCTGGAACTCGACGGTTTCAGACCACCGGAGCCGGAGCTGCTACCACCTGTCGACCAGACATTTATCGTCAGGCGTGCTGAGTATTTTTCATCTTCTTGATTAATGCGAACACGACGTTAAGTAATCGACTGGACCGCGCAACTACGATTCTCTTAAGATGAGAAGCAATAACAAGGAAAGGAAATTGATGGGTTCGCGTGGAGTTTGTTGAATCGTACGGTTGATACTGTCAGTTGATCGATTACGAATCTAAATTGATCAATGATCCGTGACGGGAACGTGGCTACATTAAATAGACGATAACCACGAGACGCGAAAATGTATTAGTGGCTCGTCCGGTTATCTGATGAAACTTACACCTGGAAGTCTCGAATAGCATCACGTATCTGGGATACGTGAAAGTTTCAAATATCAAACGTTGCGAAACCTTAGCAGAATGCATGGTAATTATGATAATACAGCTGTTGAAAATATCCTTGAGACGCGCAAGATATTGGCTGTCGAACAATTAATACTCGTAACTCTTTTACGTGATTCGTTAGAGGCACGGATTCTCATCGATAAGAATGGTCTTCTCAGGATGTCTTTTAGGAATCTTTTTTACCGAGTTCCCCGTTGGAAACATTGTGCAACGAAGGATCAACGGTGCTCCAAACTCGATTACTATTTCAACGAGAAAAAGAGAAGGCAGAACGAACCCGCTGACGTAGGTGTGACAGGTTTTGAGATCGGAGTGGTCGGTTTCTCCCGTTCCTCCATCTTCTTGGCCGACGGCGTGCTAGCGTTGCTGCTGGTACCGCTTCTCGGCGAGGGTGGCGGCACTTCTTTCTTCACCTGGCTGCTCAAAGGCACCGAGGACGGACCCAGCTTGTCGAGGCCGTTCTCCCTCGGCGATGAGGTGCCATTCGCCGCGGGACTCGCTGGCCCCTCGCTGGCGTCGTCCACCACCAAGTCCTGGTCGCTCTTTTCACCATCGCTCTGCTGTCGGGGAAAGCGTGTACGGCTTTATTAAGATACGCCACCGTTGCTCGAACATGGAGAACCATCGTAGATACTTACATGGCCTATGTCCTTGTCCTGTTCCTTCTTCATTTTCTTGAGGTGCATGTGCTCGTGGTGCTGGGGGTCCGGCGTACTTCGCGGCCTGCTGTATTTCTCGCGCTCGGCCGGCGATATCGAATTCCTCTGGAACAACGCGAGCAAAATCAAGTTAAAATAATGTTTATAACGTGAAACTTTCTTGTATTTGTCATATTATATCGTATCCAAATAAAGAATATAGCGGATATCCACAGTTACGTCATTAATCTTGCCCAAATAGGGATAGATGAAAATACGAATGAACACAGAATTGTATTTAACTTTCGTTAAACGATATTATTGTACGGTTAAATTATACAGGATGAACCACAAGAATTTGTTACCAAAGGTACCATTTTCCATATTTCATTTAAAAAATTTTAATACAAAAATTCTTCGGCTACGACTATGTATGCGCAGCCTTCGCAAATGGTAGTTAGTTTTTAGTTAATAGAGTCGATACGCAAGAGCTGCTTAGAGGATGGAAATAACAATTCTTCGTACAGCACATAATTTACAAGCTATTCGATACGTGTGTGTCCTCAGATTGTATACACAAGTACGTGACCACAGAGTCGTCACGGGGTTACAGAGGGTTAAGCCGAGAGACAAGCAGACAGTCGTAAAAGTCCAGATTCTCTGCTGACATGATTTATAGTTGGGGCAATGGCCTTGACCGACCACTTGATTTTCTCATGACCATAGTAGATGTTCGAACATGAAAATTTATCGCTACTCGTAACAGCTGAATTATTATAACGGGGAATTTTATACGGAATTAAAAAAGTCAGAGAAAAGTATCTACTACCTAGTTTCTGTTCCACCATCGAAAGTCATACTCTTTTACTTTTCCTGTAACCAGCAGTATTTACTGTCAATTACAAAGCCCGCTTTATCGTTGCATCGCGAGCAAAGAGAGGAAATATCCACGAACGCCGCTTTGTCGGATCTCGACAGAACCGATCCCTTATCGGAGACGGTAAACACCGTCGGATAAAGGTAATCGTTGTCAGGTTATATAGATGTTCGACGATGCGCGTATCAGGCGGAAGGTTCCACGAAGAAGGGAACCGTAAAACCAGCGTTAAGGTTTATCACGCGGAATCTTATCCTAGACCCTGTGCAAGCCCACTTTCGCCTCGCTTAACGCGATCCTGCCGATTTCATCGAAGCTTTTTACGGTCAACGATTCTTCGTTCCCGAGCGAGGCGACGATGTCGAGAGCGAAAGTAACGAAACTATCCGCGGTGGAAACACCGGGGTTTCCGACTTCTTCCCCGTCTTGCGATGAAATAAAATATTTGTCCGTCGATGTTCCCGGGGAGCAATTAAATTACGGACGGCCCTCCTTCGATTCCGACGTCGTCCCCGACGAGAAAAAGCGGGAAAGTAAATAACATAGAAAATCGTCGAGTCGGTTAAAAGGTGCCAGACGTAAAAATCAAGGCGACCTTTTTTTATTTGCTTCGCAGTTACCGACGCTTCCTCCTTCCCCAACGAAGAAAACATACTTTCAGTCAGGAATTTTATTCCGAGAGATGAGTTTGCAACTCCCCCGTTGATCGATACGTTCTCAAACGAAGTCTAAATAAATTTTCATCGCGATAAAAACGAAATGTAAAATAAAAAAACGAATAAAAATATCCGATAGTTTTCTAAATTAAATAAGGAAAAGAATATCAGTATATTTTTAAACAGTCACATTTATCCCATACTCTGGTTATCGGCCTTGGTTTCCAGAAACTATCTACCCCCTCGTGTTTCTCATATAGAGACGATAACCGCGGAGGGTTGGTTAGGGCTCGACGAAACGTCCTACCGAAAACGTTGCTGCCAATATCGTAGGAGACACGAAGGCCCTAGCGTCGAAGATATTATCGACAGGAAGTTTTACGAGCGACAGTTTTGTCGTCGATACGGCAAAATTGTGTCTCTCTCTCCTCTTCATCCACATAAACGCGCGAGCGCTTTTCCTGTCCCCGATAACTGCGCCCCCATCCGGAGCAACATCGTAAACTACCCTCTCGCAGCCTCTCTCGACCCCCAAGTAAATCTCCTCTTCTCAATTACCCTTCGTCTCTCATCCACTGGCACCTCTGGCTCGGTCCATTACCCCGACGCCTCGGTATCATCCCTTCCAGCGGTTCAGTCGCGTCTGGAGGACCGTTGCGTCGGGCGAAAGGAAATGAAATAGGGTAACCTGTGATTTAGAAAGCCGTTGAGACGAGTATCCTTTTGTAAGCCCGGCTCGGCTAATCGTTAGAGGGAACTGTTGCGAAAACGCGATGGGGTCTCGTGTATTTAATATTCATGGGGAATTTCTTCGCAGGAATGTCTCGATGGAATTGTCTCGGGAACCTGTAGTCGTTTTTATCCTACGTACGATTTAATTGCATACAAACCGAAACATAATTGACCGCTTGTTACGCGTACACTCTCGTCCATAAGTAACTGGACTTATATTTTAAAGGATAACTCGTATCGTGTGTCATGAATTTTACCAAAACGTTAACGATGTTTAAATTTTTAGTAATTTTTTTTGTTAACGTCCAACCTTTTTGTAATATTCGGTAATTTCTCGCGAGTCCTTCGGCTTTGAACGTTCTCGAAACGGATTCGACGAGATTACAGCGGCGTAATAACGTTTCAATTCCGTTCCCGGCTCACGTTTCATAGCCCCGGCGCAAAGAAATAAAGAGACACCGCATAAAACTCCCGACGTCGGAACAAACGTATTCCCGAAGCAAACGTAACGGTAGCAGCTTTTCCAGAAGCTTGCTCGGTGGAGACCGGTGGCATAAAAATTCTACGACACGTCGAAACTTTGGCAACAGCGATTCATACGGTTCCCTTTTATCCGCGCTAGCCCGGCTACGCCGATTCCACGAAACTTATCTCCCGTTAAGCATCTTCGGTTCCGACATAAATCCAAGATCATCGAGATTCCCCGCATTTTTATGATAATGCCTCCGACTTTCTGTATTCCTCTCGCGACGCGCCTCTTCCGTTCTTCCGATGGATGGATCGTTCTCGGAACTATCCGCTTGTACTTGTCATCTTACCCCTTATTTCTTTCTTCCTACGTCGTGTTTTCTTTTACCGTCGATTTATCCTCGGAGGAGATGTACACCTTCTGCGCTCGTCAGGCTTTCCTTTCCAGGAAGACGACAGTCGTAACCGGAGGCTGACTCCCGGTGGCTTTCGCCTGGATAAATAGCGACTGGCCATTACAGGGTAACGAGAGACAGGGGGTCGGTTCTTCGTCCCGCCTGGCGAGAAGGAAACGGATCTCTCTTCGAGCCTTTTCGTTTCTAGAAAAGTCGAACGAGGCACGTAATACGGCTCCTCCGGGGATTCCTTCCTTTGAGAAGTCGTTCGACGCGAACGTGTGTGCGTGTTTTCTTGCGTCTGTTCCTAGGGGAATTCGCCCCGTTCTCTCCTTTTTATCGGCTGAACTGACTCGTCCCGCGCGGAGACGACGAGCCTGCACGCCCGAGTGCCGGACGAGCTGAATTTTTCGATGTCGTCGGATTGTCTTCGCCGCGTGCCTTTGTCGCACCTCGCGCCTCGCGCCGATGATATCTGAAATGCTTTCGTCTGATCGCCGTGTGGGCGTTCTTTTCCCCCACGTCGAAACCGATCTCTGTGCATCGCGAACTTTGGAAACTGTCGTATCGTAAGTTCGACGAGGAGACGATTCGTAACGTAAAACAAGAGCGCGATAAAAGCCTCTTCTCGATGAACCGGAATCTTTGAATAATAGAAACGTGGGCCTAACCGTCGCAAATAAAATATAACTGTTAAAATCTAATTAGGTGTCTAAATTTTTTGACGAAAAAAAAAATTTCAAATCGTTCTGGAAAAATTATTGTCGGTTACGGGGGTCAATTACAATCATTTTTGGTGAATAGACATACTCCCGAAATCCTACCTATTTTCTAGAAAAACATTCGAGAAGGTGTACAATTTTTCGACAAAATTAAAAAATTTCAAATCGTTTTCGAAAAATTATTTTCGGTTACGGGGATCAATTACAATCGTTTCTGGTGAATATACATACCCTCGAAATCCTTGCGGATTTTCAAAAAAAATTAATAACAAATTGATATTCTTGATTTTCGTCTTATATTGACCTCTAGAATCTCCCATTAAAATTTTTGCCAGGGGTAGCCGAACACCCTGTATACGCTCGTCAAAACAGCAAGAAAACAACGCGAGACATTTAAATGACATACACAAACTGTACCACGCGTACGTTCGGCTTGACGTACCAGTTATTTTGTTGAATTATATTTACCAGCTCATCAACGTGCCAACATTCGATCCATATATTGGCTGAGGCCTGTATCAACAACTTGACATAGACAAATCGATTTGTATAACATTGCGAGAGTACATAACCGAAATTCACAACCTCGCAAAATTTGTTTCCAATTGCGGTGTACGGTACAGCTATGCGTGATTATTCTGCGTGGAACGCATATTATCGAATCCAGAGAACTTTCGTTGATCTTAGATTGTTGTAACTTGAGGCACGATATTTTTGAAAACTTTTAGTTCAAAAGATTGCTTCACTAATCGTACGTTCATTTCCAATCGCGTGGAATATGTTTTTCTTGGGAAACGAAGTATTTATAGTGATACAAAATTTTAGTACGAATTAAATCTAACATATCAACAACCTGAAAGTCTACTATCGCAAGAACAGAAATAATATCCAGCTTCTTTTCTTAACTTCTTGTGTCAACGGTTCATTTATCACAAGACGCAACCATAAATTGTCTGACAATGACATAATGCTGTGCTATCTGTCTTCGAAACGTTATGAAAACCACGCTGACAGTACCAAAATAATTAAGTACGATGTAATGTAAGGCAAAGCCCAAGGCGGGCTAAAGTAAATACATACTGGCGGTAGGCGTGAGGTACTATAAATAAAGGCGCTAAAACAGTGCAGAATAAACAAATCCCGGAACAAATAACACACTGCACACGACTAATGATATCCTTTGAACGTGTATGCAGAGACTCGTGTTTCGTACATTCGTGAGCTACGTTACGAGGTATAATTAACCCTGAGCTATGAGTCTCGCCACTATGAAATT